CACACACACACGCTCGCACACACACACGCTCACAAAACACACGCACAGCTTGCGCTCACCACATTGAACATGGCTAACCTTGCACCTGAGAGGCACAGTAAAAGAAGAACTGGAAGAATCAATAGAAGAGAAACCGCAAGAAAGCCTAAGGAAGGAAACTGAAAGCAAAGAAAGAATTGCGTAAAGGGAAAGGCAAACCTTCATGTTGTTTGCTATACATGCACAGTCTGAAAGAGAAATACCAATAAAGTCAAAGTGAAGACTAACATTGCATAAGGAAAAGGCAATGTAATGGCTAGTGTGCTTAATGTTGTTTGCTATTGAGGTAAAGCTGTTTCAAATTTGGATCTGCTCGTCTGGGTGGAAAATGGGTTGTTGTGGTGAGAGTTTACAACACACAGACACACAGGGTTGGTTGAGTAAAGTCTACCACTTTCCCCAGCGGTATACTAACTCTGGGGGAGGTGGAGAGTCCTTATCCCTCAGTCGAAGGCATGCTGGGGAACCTCCTGATGAGTCGGTGAAAATTCCAATGAAACAGTCAGGAACAGTCATGCTTTTTCTGTGGAGCTGTGTATAGTGAAGGTGACAACATATAAAATTACAAATAGTCGACTTATATTTGTTTTCTTTGAGTCGTCTACTGGTTGCACAGTGTAGGCTTTTCCCATATTTGTCCATAGTTAGTGCCTGTTTGTATGGAGTGCCTGCAACACTATTTGGGGGGATGCGGTGTTCGGGATGCCTGTGTCTCTGTGTTTCCGGTCTCTTATACACATCTAGATGTGTATAAGAGACAGGTGTAGGCTTTTCCCATATTTGTCCATAGTTAGTGCCTGTTTGTATGGAGTGCCTGCAACACTATTTGGGGGGATGCGGTGTTCGGGATGCCTGTGTCTCTGTGTTTCCGGTGGTGATAGACATTTGGCTCATGGCTTCCTGGCTCCTGATGGTGGTGTGAACCTACAGTGTGCTGGGTCTTCTGTATGATGTGAGTATGTCCTAGTCCGTTTTGCTCCTTGCTGCTTCCATGGGGCTATATGCCCGCCGCGAAGCGTTCATCTTTCCCACCCACCCCAGGGTGGGGTGGTGTCGGCTCCATTCTTTTCTTGGCCAGGCAGCGAAGGAAGCTGACGAGCGGAAAAAGGGATTTGAACCCTCACCTTAGCCTTGGCAAGGCTATAGCTGTGTTGGTGGCCCGCCTGCCGCTTGTGTTGCAGCCGTTGCCGTACTGTTGTGTGTCCGCCCTCCCGCCCGCCTGCCCATCTGCTCGCCTCACTGCTGCCTGCCTGCTGTGCTGTGCTATAAGTTGCTTTGACCAACCCGTGCCGGATGCTTTGCTGTGTTCCCCAAGTTTCATCAGGGTCTGAGTCTGGTCATGACTGGAAGCATTGTGAGGGGATACAGCAGACTGTCGACGGTTCAGCCTCCTGACGAGTCGGTTTTCGCCCGACGAAACAGTCTGTCACTGCGTGTGTGTTTGTTTGCGCTGTATTGTGGTGTGTGTCCTGGTAACCTGGTTCATCCGCAAACTGGATATGAAACAACTTGGAATAACAAAACACCAAATTTGATAACTGAAAAAAGGAAAACAAAAAAAAAAGGGCGGAGCTTAGGGAAATTTGCATATATGTTTTCGAAGTTTCAGTCATTTGTGTGCAAATAAATGATGGTTTTTCTATGCGTAGAACAAGAAAAGGTTTAGCTAACCTCCATGTAGGAATAAAAAAACACCAAACGTGGGCCATCGAAGGTGACATAACTAACTGTTTTGGATGCTCTACTTGTACGGTTTGACAAATTTGCATATATGTTTTCAAAGTTTCAGTCATTTGTGTGCAAATAAATGATGGTTTTTCTATGCGTAGAACAAGAAAAGGGGCCATCGAAGGCGACATAACTGTTTTGGATGCTCTACTCGTACGGTTTGACAAATTTGCATATATGTTTTTAAAGTTTGTGTGCAAATAAATGGTGGTTTTTCTATGCGTAGAACAAGAAAAGGTTTAGCTAACCTCCATGTAGGAATCAAAAAACACCAAACGTGGGCCATCGAAGGCGACATAACTGTTCTGGATGCTCTACTCGTACGGTTTGACATAGTTGTTTCCTACCTTCCCACTGCAGGAAGGATGCATCTGTTCCATGCCTACAAGTTTGTATGCCTGCAAGTTTTGGTGCCTAAGGCGCACCAATATGTTGCATAAGCTTTTGGATATCTGGCGATATTGGGTTTCGTTACTTCTGTACCATCATGCGTTTCATGCCCACAAACACTTTCACGCACTGCACGCACCCACTATGACCGCCACCATGTGGAAAGGCCAGGACAGCGTCTATTGTGATATTAAAGTCGGCATTATTTCAATTTATTTGCGAAATTCTGCGATGCACATGTCAAGGACATAGAATCTAGTGTTGATACTCGCTGTGCTTCTGTTTGGATGTGGTGGGTTGAAGGTTTGCACCCTTTGCATGCATGGGTGTCACAGTGGGAGAATCAATGAGGTTACCCTCACCTTTGCGTGTGCGGAGGTAGAGGAGGGAGTGAGAGAGGCCGTAATTGGTTATTCCTTGCTTGACTATGATTTTTGATGATGGGACATTGTCAATATCTTGATTCAGGCGCTTGTGGAAGCAAGGAGGGAGATCCGGCCATCTCTTCTTAAGGCGAGCAATAGACTGAAGGACATTATATATTTAGATTTGGCACTGGACTCGGCTGTCAGAACAGCAGTGGAGCGTGGCATGGAGAACGTCCACAATGTCGGTGCTGCGGTGAGGCTCTAAATTCCAAGCTTCATTTTTTTCCCCTTGTTCTTCGTATTGGCTTCGGATATGATGTGATTTCATTACGAGGTGGATCTCCTGAGAGCCTGTTTTGTGCAGCCAGAAAAAGATTAAGACATTTTTTCTTGACTTCTTTTTTTTTTTTTTTTTAACAGGGCCTTATGGTCCTGGCTCCTTCTACTTCCTATTCCACCGGCAAGTCGGAAAATATATCACATTACAGCAAAACACTCACGCTTCCTCCCGTTTGGCCGGAGGACTCCTGAACAGCATTGATTACTCCACCATAGGTGGAGGATTGACTGTCAGCTTGCCCTGGCTCACTCTTTCCTCTCAGAACTGAAAAACGAGCTCTGCCAGATAATCCATTGCCGCCTAGAGACATTTTTTCATTTCTATCAAGGGTCATTCAGTACATCCGAAAAAGCAGATTGAGACTCCTAAAAATTTGGAGGCCATGGACGATCGATACAATGAATCGGCAGTTCATGCCCTCCTATTTTTTAGGAGAGGCTCAGTCTGCTTTTTTCTTATGTACTGGTGGTTGAAGCCACTCCTCCAGAGTTGTCGGTGGAGTTAGTTTCCAGCAGTAGGCCAATGCCAAACCTATAACGTACTGCGTGTGCCACCCGGTTATGGAAAGATTTTTATTTTAGCCTGTTTTTGCTACTATGGTCTAGTGTGTTAACACCCTCTCTCTCTCTACTTCAAGGCGTGGGGTAATTGACCCCTAACGTAACTGTATTAGAGATTAGAGACTCATGCAAACAGGGTTTTTGAATTTTGAACTCATATCACGTTGCTCATTAGTCGCTCTAGGTGTGTATCATTCAACCGGGAGTTAAGCACTCGTAATGACGTCTGATTATGGGTTCCTATGTTCATTGAAATGGACCTTATGCTGTGCTGGGCAGTGGGTATCCTTGGTGTCTTGTATGCATTTGCTATGTTGTCGATCTGACTAGTTTTTTGAATTTTTTTCCACATTTGTTTGCTTTTTGTGGTCTGCTTTTGACTGACAGGATGTAATATACCTGGTAGCGCTTGTGCTGGAGAATCTTTGCCTTTCGACTGATGACAATCTCGAGCTTGTATATTGTTTGAAGGTAATAGGTCTCTCTCTCTCTCTCTCTCTCTCTCTCTCTCTCTCTCTCTCTAAGGTATCCTCTTGTTTACTTTTATTTGTCAAACCAACACATGACTTTTCTTCCTTCTGCAAATTCTGGCATGTATATTGACTTCTGATTCTGGGGTTAGTTGTCAAGCATATCTCTCTCTCTCTCCCCCCTTCCCTCCCTCCCTCCCTCTCTCTCTCTCTCTCTCTCTCTCTCTCTCTCTCTCTCTCTCTCTCTCTCTCTCTCTCTCTCTCTCTCTCT